AAGGCCAGCCTGGTCTACAGAATGAGTTCCAAGACAGTCAGGGCTACACAGAGAAACCCTGTTTTGAAAAACCAAAAGGGCAGGAAGGAATTGCTAAAAAGCAACCATTTGATTTGGACTGGGCCACAGCAAAGCTTGGGGTGCAGGAAGATGAATAAAAATCTACATTAATCTATCATTCTAGAGACTAAGGTTAGGATTCAAGTTTGGGACTAACTTCAAGATCCAAGTACTACAATCTCAGAGACCTGTTATGGTTAACCTAATTTAAGGCTAAATAAGAGCAGAACCAATATCCCACTTAAGTCAACCCTGGTTCCCTAGGAGGTTTTTCCTGCCAAATTTGGATGCATCACAAGTTTTACTTTATTTGTGTGCATGTATGTGTGCGCATGTGTATATGGACATGTGGAGGTCAGAGGACAACTTAAGAGAGTTGATTCTCTCCTTCCACCATGTGGGTCCTGGGGACTGAACTCAGATCATCAGCTTGGTGGCAGGTGTCCTTATCTGCTAAGCCACCTTGCTGGCTATAACTGGCTATTTTAAAACTTGAGTTCAGTGCCCATTGAGCTTGGATGGATTATCATCACATTTGTAAAATACACAGAATGTTCCTTCCCAAGAATGGAGCTAGCACTTTGGTTAAGGATGCCCTGGCTCACAATATTCCTTGTGACATAGTTGGCGATGAGTCTGTTTAATATAAAAATACACACATCCATAAAGCAACCATGTTTAGAATTTGACCACTTTTGTTTGCAATGCCTTTCAGATCTCACAAGGAATAGTTAACTAAGATTCTTAGGAAATTATCTTTGCCGGAAGGAAGCATAGAAAATAAGCCCCTCATGGTAATATAAAGCTAAAAATCCTACATTAAAAACAAAGTCTTCACTAAGGCTAGAACGTTCTTGCAAAGCTGGGCAGGGAATATCTTTAGGGACTACTGAATGCTTCTCCTTCAGAGAGCTCACAAAGGCCCATTACCTCCAGCATACCTACAGTGAGACACAAAGAGGCTTTCTGGTCCACTCCAAAAGAGTTGGCAACTGTCCCTCATTATTTAAGAACAGAAAAAAAAAAAAAATCAAAGCTTTTGAAAATGCTAGTGTGACAGCAAATAGAACTCAAAACTCAGAAGATACCCTGCTAACATATTCAGACACTTAGCAAAGTCTCTCCATCTCAACCTCAGCCAATGGTTTGGTGAAAATACACACACACACACACACACACACACACACACACACACATGACTAAGAAGCCAGACCAAAGTCCTCAATAGCCCTCAATTTTACAGCAGAACTCAGAAAACAGCAATATCTCCTAATATGGTGGATACTTCACGTTTTCTCTCCACATCTGGAAAGCCCTATTCCAAGGTTAGCAGAACTACTACAAAAGGATGACCTCCAGAATGCTATCAGGAAACCAAAGCTACAGCCTCACCTCAGAACAAAACCAGCAGTTGAACAGTAATTCAGCTGCTTCTCAAAGGTAGTTTTCCTCAGTGGCATTTATGGGAGAAGTGGATGTAGGTCAGACTCCAGGCAGCACCAGCCTCCATCTGGGGCCTATCTATGTTCCCATACTTATAGACCTCTCTGCCCACCAAGTTCTAAAGAGACAGAGAAGGCACAGAGCAATAGCACTGTCTCCAAGACACCACCATGTTTCATTTGGATTTCCTTTGGCTTTTTGTGTATACTGTCACATAAGACCCTCAATGACTGCAGGACAGACATCTACAGATAAACATATAAAAAACCAGGGACTTATATGACTCGTCTGCTCAAGGTTATAAGTTAGGCACTTTAGCCTGAGCCTAGCCTTCCCACTGAGTGGCTAGTAAGTTTCCAGATACTACTTCCTTAGGTTACCGATGAGAGAGGCCATAGTGATGTCTTAGGGGACAGCTGGACATAAGCCACATGACTACAACTGAAACAACTCAGAAGGAGAAGGGAAAAGGACTAAGAGTTCAAAGCCAACCTGTATTATATACAAGTTTGAGGCCAGTCAGGGTCCACATATTAAGACCCTGTCTCAAAACAAGCAAATAATAAATAATCAAACCAACAAAATACTAAATGAAAAGAGCCAGGGTTCTGGCTTGTCAGGCGAGCACTCCAGTCCCATCTCTGCTACCTGTCAGCTAACTGTCTGGGGTCCTTACCTCCCCTGCAAACAGGGAGTAGAGTTACAATGACGAAAGGGATGATGGACATAAACCATTCACATTTCTTCATTTGCAAATACTTGTGCCATGCACAGTGTAAGATTTACAGCAGTGATCAAGAGATAGTTCTGGTCTCACAGAGCTGAGACTTTAGTCAAACTCCCAAGAAAAATAACTAAGCAGATAAATAAATGCTTTTAGAGTATGCTAAAAAAAATTAAGATTACCACAAATGATTGAAAACAGTCACAGGAAGGGCCAGATGTTAAGAGTGGCCTCTGAGGAGAAATTTCTGTTGAGCCCTAAGGGGTCCATAGTAGCTATCTATGTGAAGAATGGACGAACAAACATTTCTGTCATAAAGAACGCAAGATGTGCAAGGGTCACAGCATGAGGAAGGCCCAGGAACATGGAAGACAAACGCGATCGCAGTATGTCCTCTCACAGCCTTTTGGAGAACAACCGTTACAAGCTGCAACCACTGAGGATTACCACATCTATTTTTAAAATTACAAAGATGAGCCTAGAGAAAGGTGCTGTGTCTTGTCCAAGGTCAAAGCTACTCAGAAGAAGACCTAAGGCTGGAACCCCTCAGTATTCTACTTCCTGCGCTGTGAGGAGTCCCCGAAACACCTTGAAAACCCAAGTAATAACACTGCATCGACTTCCAGGCATCCGGTCAATCAAGCACTGAAAGCCCCACCTTTGGAATCTTACCACACAAGAGCAAAAGCAGCTCAGACCTAACTCAACAGCTCTGAAGTGGAAACGGCTTCTCTTCTTGCAGCCATGAATGAGAGAGAAAAGGATGCCCCAGAAAATTCCATGGCCTGTTCCAGGAGACAGAACCACTGATGCAAATGAGCACTCACCTCAAGTGAACAGCACAGGAAAAGCTAATTACTCCATCTGTACCAAAGAACAAACCCCTTTAAACAGCAGTTCTCGGTCAGGCTGGGACACCCACCCCAGTAAAAGGCATCTGGGAATTGGTGGAGGCAGTCTGAGGTGAACTGCAGGATGCCCTGGGTATTCAATAGGTTCAAAGTCTTGCAAAATGACAGAATGGTCCTATATAATAAAAATAAATAAACGTACTACCTATAATGTTAACAAGAGCCCCCCTCCCATACACTGGAGACACTGAAAAGGTTAACATCTTTAACTTTCCTTGTTCAGTGGCGCTCCCTGATTGTAGGCCTGAATGGGGGTGGGGGTAGGGAAGAACTCCAAGGTTTCACAGCTGAAGAGTGTGAAAATCTGGAATTCAGTGGTAAGCTCATAACTTTATCAGGGAACGTGGCAGTGGAACAAGGATAAAGAAGTTTATAGCAAGAGACAGACTTAAGAAATCTCACCCAAAAGGTAATTCCTCTTCTCACTCCTCCATATAAGCCCTTATAAAATTCTGTGACTTTGGAGAGCTGATTTACGATGTTTTCAGTTTTAAAGGCAGACCCGTGACATCTTATTTACAAATGTAATCACGACAGTCTTGCAAATACAGTCGACTCTTTCTGGACTCAACTACTTAAGGAAGATTATTAATCCCAAGATGCTTATCGCAGGCTGAATGCCAACAGTTTAATGGCAGTTTAATGGCAGCCCCTTACTCCAACCAGCCACTATACCCCACCAAAGTTTTCTCCAAAAATTTAAAATTATAGAATTGACCAAAAGAAAGAGAAAAATAAGAGAGACCCAAAAACCCTATTCTGTTTTGAAATAGCTACAAGAGTAAACCCACAAGGTAAATCTTCCATGATCTGAAAAAGCTTTATCCCACACACTATCTAAAATTTCACCCAAAGGAGTCTGAATATGTAACTTCTTCACTTCAACTGCTAATAAGCACACAGCGGTCTCACACCCCTTTAGACCAATTTTCCAGAAGCCTGCCCTGCCTTCTCAGGACAGCCATGCAGACAGACCTGTTTTCCTCTAGAAGTGCCTGCCAGGCCTTCTCTGCCCTACCAGCCAGACCCTGGGAAATCCCCCTCCAGCCTTTTCCTGGCCTGTCACCAGAAAGGCACACACAGAATGAATCCATCCAGAGTCTCTCAACCTTCCTCTTCCCAGTCACATACCAACTGCTGGGCAGTAATGCCCCACCTTGTCGGTGCTTTGTTTAAAACAAAACAAACAAACAAAAAAACCCAAGAAAATGCAGATTCACGGGGAGAGCAAGCACTTAGTAAGGAGCAGGAGAAAAAAGATGGAGGGCTGTGAGAATCACTGAGCCAAGCCTGCTGAATGCAGCATCAGAGACCAGAACCCAGGGAGGGAGGCTTTCCATATTGCAGACCACACCTGTCTAAGCCAGCCTCCTGCTCCATTTTAAACAATTTGTACAGTTACCCAGCTGGGTGGAAAAACTAGCAAGGCTAAGGAACCACTTGTCCCCTAGTTTTATTTCTTTTTCTCTTTGTTTAGAAGACACTACCTCCCTAACCAGACAGGTAGGCACCATGCTGCAGTAGCAGAAATGAAGTGTCCAAACCAGCCTAGAAGACCTCTTCTCTGAGGATCATGATGCTAATAAATGGGGCTTTAATGGGCAGGTTTCACTCTGCCATCCACAAGTGAACACATGCCTGCAGTCCTACAACGCCCGACTCCGCAGCCTGGTAGACAGCGTCTTCCCTAGGCAGTAGTTATCCCACTTGATCCTATTCCTCCTCTGGCAGAGAAGGAACCAAGGGAAAGGCAGGAGTTAGCTTTATACCCATAGCTTAGCACACTGAGAGGTTTGGGGGGCCCCCGGCGCGCCCTGCCTTGGCACTCCACCCTTACAGGCCTCCGTCACCCAAGGACTCACCACTGTGCGAGCTGAACCACCTGGGTGCGATGTGCAGAGGTAGAGCATCCGCCAGCGAGGCTCGGGAGCCCAGGTACAGCATCCCGTCTCTATGGTGACCGCCGCCTGTCTCCTGGTAACCATTGCCGTGAGCATAGGTGGAGTCCGACGTGGACCCTCCGCCGCCCGGCGCCCTCTCTGAGTCGCCGGTCCCGCGGGAAGCGGGGGTGTAGAGGCCAAAGGGCACCCCTCCGGCCGTGCTGGGGTCCATGCCCATGCCCGCCACCGAGCTGACCGAGCGGCTGCGCAGCCCCATAGCCCCGCCGCCCGTCCGGTAGTGCCCAAAGTGGGGCGCTCCTCCCGGCGGCGGCACGGCGCTGTCATCGGTAGAGACCCCCGGGAAGGGGCCTCGAGAGCGAGCCGCCGTGCTCTGCTTGCCCCCCATGTTCGCCCGGGCCCCGGTGGGGCGGGAACCTCGAGGCCGAAACCCTCCCCCACTACTCAGAAGCGGGTGGAAGACTGGGCGAACATAAGGGGGGGGGTTACAAAAGAGCCCCGAGGGAGAAAATGAAAAAGAGAGAGGGAAAAAAAAACCTCAGAAGATCCGCGGGGCGGAAAAAGCAAGCGAGCGGGGACCCCAAACTAAGAATTTCAAACAGTCCAAGCCGAATGCATGTTCTCCTTAAGGTCCGAAGACGCGCGGTCCGGAGCGGGCGCCGCGCGCTACAGGCCGCCCCCGGGCTCGAGAGCCTGAGGAGCCGCAGCGAAGGGAGGGAGGCGCCGGAGGAGGCCTCCCGCCCGCCCGCAGCAGGAAGCGGCGGAGGCTCAGGGAGCCGCGCGCGTCCCCGGTCTCAGGACTCGACGACCGGGGCCGACGGTCCGGACTCCTTCAGGCTTCGGGAGGGCTCGCGGCGGTGGGGCAGCCAGGCGGAGCTCTGGAAGCCGCAGTCGCGTGGCGTCGCGCTCCGGCTCCAGCCGCCGCCGGCCCCGCCAGCCAGCCGCACCGACCCGCTCGGTCCCGGGCTGCGCTCGCCGGCGCTCCTCGCCGCCGTGGAGACAATGGAGGGCGGCAGAGCGCACGCGCGGCCCGCGCCTCCCTCCCTCCCCACCCCCCCGCCGGGTTAACCCTTTCGCGGCCCCTGCGGCGCGGCGAACGGCTGCGGTCCTGGAGGTCCCCACCCACCCGCCGCCTGCGCCCCTGGCGTCCGGGAACCGGCAAGTTCCAGAGGCCCAGACTTCTTCCGGAACCAAGCACGGCTAGAGTCGCCGCGAAAGTCGAGTCACTACGTTCAAGAAGAATCCTTGCGTGGGGGAGGGGCGGCGACGGTTTTAGTGGGTGGGAAGAAAACTAGAAAGAAAGAAAACCGACTAAGACGCCTACCTGGGTTTGAGGGTCGTTGGGCGAGCCCCCTCCCGCCACAAACCTGCCCTCACAGCACCCTCTGGTGGATGTGCTGTGCATCCGTTTGGAGGTTCCCATCCAAGGACCCCAACCAACATTAGGAAGTTTTAGCATTTTGGGGGCAGTTAGCTTGGACCCAAACATCGGGGGCCTTAACATTTAGGGTTAGCTGTTAGGAGATATAGCAGTGCCCTGGGGGCATATAGGAATCAGGGTTTTGCTGACAAATCAGAACCAACTTTTTGGGTCTAAGGAAGCCAGTCAATTCCTTAGGCTAGAATGTAATCCTCAAAAATCAATAGGTGGATAAAAAGCATGGAAATAGACCGATGCAGCTAAGAAGTGGTTTTTGAAACTCCTTGTCCAAGGCCGACTCCTGTTTTTGTTTACCATGTATTTTGAAATAGAGCCACAAGGCAAGGACACAGTGAGCACTCAATAAATATTTGTTGACCAAACTGCATTTTGCAACAATCACCTTCCCAATTCAGACCCAGTCTTTCTCATATATCCACATTACCTTATTTATTGGACAAATAATTTTTCAAGTCCTCAGCGCTGGATGTGAGCATCACCCAGTCCAGAGCTTCTCTGTCTCCTTGTCAAGTGTGCCAGGTGCTTCCAGAAATGTGTGGAGTGTGGAGTTGGAGAGAGACAAAAAGGTCTAATAGACATGTCTCTTCCAGTGTGGCTAGCCTGGAAGGCCACAAGAAGATGTCTATTTGCAAGCTTAGCGAATCTGGGGATGAGCAAAAAGCCCTGAACAAAGAATTTGAAAGTTTTGTAAGAAAAACTAATGCAAGAAATACCTGGGCTGTGGCACACACCTTTAATCCTAGCACTCAAGAGGCATAGGCAGGGGGATCTCTGAATTTGAGGCCAGTCTGGTCTACATAGCAAGTTCCAGGACAGCCAGGGCTACACAGGAAAACCCTGTTTTGAAAAACCAATGTGGGTGTGTGTGTCCGGGCTGGAGAGATGGCTTAGGGGTTAAGAGTATGTGTTACTCTTGCAGAAGCCCTGGGTTCATTCTTAGCACCTATGTGGTGATTCACAACCATTCGTAACCCCAGATCCAGGGTACCCAACAAGCATGCTCAGGATGCGCCACCTCCCTGCATGCAGGCAAGGCATATACAAAGAGCAGGTAAATCTAAAACTTCATAAAATGTAAATATAGAACAAACACATTGAGATAATATCCAGGATATCTATCATCTGTGTCTAAATCAGGAATGTGTGCACTTCTAAAAGAGAAAAGGGGTGACCTAAAGAAATAGAAAAGGAAATTACAGAGGCTGGAGAGGTGGCTCAATAGAAAGTGTACTGCTCTTGCAGAGGACCTGAGTCTGATCTGTAACTCTAATTCCGAGGAATCTGATGACCTCTTTTGGTTTCCACTGGCATCCACACGTAAATAGCACTCACTCATGTAAACGCAGACTCATAAAGAAAAATAATGCAAACACATGATAAAAGGGAACATTCAGCTGGTCAGTGGTGGCACATGCCTTTAATCCCAGTACTCAGGAGGCAGAGACGTGCAGATCTTTGTGAGTTCAAGGCCGTTTTGGTCTACAGAGTGAGTCCCAGGACTGGCTCCATAGCTACTGGGAAACCATGTCTCGAACCACCTACCCACACACAAAAAGGGAACATTCATCAATTTTAAGTGGTATAGGAAAAAAGCTAGATTCTTTTTTTTTTTTTGAGACAGGGTTTCTCTGTGGCTTTGGAGCCTGTCTTGGAACTAGCTCTGTAGACCAGGCTGGTCTCGAACAAAGCTAGATTCTTGATCCTTCTATTTTTGAAGTTAAATACATTATAACCCTCTTAACAAAGTGGTTTTTGATCTTATTAACTTACTACACACACACACACACACACCTATGTAGTTACCCCTCCCCCCAACTCAGGCACTGGAGATTGAAGTTAGGGCTTTGTATGTGCTAGATTTGTACTCTATCGGTGAGCTATACCCAATCCCCTAATAAAATATTTAATATCTGAGAAGTTCCAGGCACTCTTCTGGAATCTAGGATACAGGATGAACTAGGCAGATGGAACTTCAGGACAGCCATTTTGCACCCTCTTGAATGACTATAGTCAGAAAGAGATGGTAACGGCTACAGAGAAGTGTCGAGACCAGACCTTCGTATCTTCGTACTGGAAACATTAAATGGTTGATTGCTTCGGAAAATAGTCCGGCAGATCCTCAAAAAGATTAGAGCTGGGTATGGTAGGCACACATCTTTAATCCAAGCACTAGGGAGACAGAGACAGAAGGGTGTCTGCGAGTTTAAGGCCAGCTTGGTCTACATTGTGAGTTCCAGGTCAGCCAGGGCTATACAGTAAGATCCTGTCTCAAAAATAAAAAGATACAATATAATATAGCCATTCCATTCTTAGGCATAAATATTTTTTTTATTTATTGTTTTTTCAAGACAGGTATGGTCTGAGTAGGTCAGGCTGTCCTAAAACCACTTCTATAGACCAGGCTGGCCTTGAACTCCCATATCCATTTGCCTCTGCTTCCTGAGTGCTTGGATCAAAGATGTGCACCACTACAGCTGGCTTTTAGGTATATTTCTAAGGAAAAGAAACATACATCCACAAAAGAACTTATACAGGAATGTGCATAGCCTTATTACTTGGTTTTGTGTGTGCATGTGTGTTTGTGTGTGTGTGTGTGCACATACCTGTCCGAGTGTGGGGGTACACAAGCATGTGAAGACCAGAGATGGATATAGGTTATCTGCCTCAATCACTTCTCTGCCTAGCTTTTTTGAGATAGGCTCTTCACTGACCCTGAAGCTCACTCATTGGCTAGACTCCTTAGCCAGCAAGCCCAAGAGATTCTCCTGGTCCCACCTCCCAGCACTGGAATTACAGACTCATTCAGTGTGTCTGGATTTTTAGGTGTGTGATAGGAATCCTACTAGGTGTGGCAAGTGCTACTGACCGAGCTATCTCTCCAGGCCTAATTTTATTTTGTTTTGTATTTTGGAGACCAGGTATTACATAGTCCAGGTTAGCCCTTTATTCGCTGTGTAGACAAGAATGTTCATGAATTTCTGATGGTCATGCCTCTACCTCCCACGTACTAGGATTACAGGCTTGCACCACCACACCAGGCTGCAGCATTATTTGAGACAGAATCTTGAGTTCAATCGCTAGTATTGCATGAACTTAGCATGGTGGTATGCACCTATAATCTCAGCACACGAGAAGTAGAAGATCAGGAGTTAAATGTCATCCTCAGCTTTTAAATACATTTTCCATGTATTTTTCTCCAGACATGCCTTGAGGGAGGGGCTATCCCAAAGCTTGAAGAAATTGAGAAATTTGAACTTGGCCCCCTTTTAAAGTAAGACAAGCTCCCTCTTCCCCAACTAAAGAGCTATATACTTTCAGCCCATACATGAAGACATTTATGTATATTCACACATATAAATTGGAGAGATACATGAAGCAACATAACAGTCCCCTTGGGAGAGAGACAGTGGCCGCTTGGGCACTCTGGGTGACAGAATAGATAAAAACATTGTCCACATAATACATGTTTTAGTATTTTTGGCTCTTTTCCGTGTAAATTTCTTATTTAAATGTTTTTAAAGATTTATGTGTGTAAATGTTTTGCCTGTGTGTACATATGTGCACCACATGCATGCAGTGCCCACAGAGGTCAGAGGAGAGAGTCAGGTCTCCTGGAACTGGTTGGGAACCACCACCGTGCAGGTGCTGGGCACTGAACTCTGGTCCCCTGGTGGAGCAACGCATGCTCTTTTTTTTTTTTTAATTTATTTATTTATTTATTATGTATACAATATTCTGTCTGTCTGCAGGCCAGAAGAGGGCACCAGACCTCATTACAGATGGTTGTGAGCCACCATGTGGTTGACTGGGAATTGAACTCAGGACCTTTGGAAGAGCAGGCAATGCTCTTAACCTCTGAGCCATCTCTCCAGCCCCGCAACGCATGCTCTTAACCGCTGAGCTATCTCCCCAGCACCTTATTTTTATTTATGGAACAGAATCTCACTGTGC